ATTTATCATTTATGTATGTACAATGTACGTCAACTAAGATTTTCGTTGAGCAAAACAAAAAGTTGTTATCAGTCTTCTGTTTGCTCCTCGTCATTGTGTTTTTTATCATTTTTTTGCGTTGGATTTTTTAATTATATTTTAATATCCATTAATATCATATTATTAATATCATAAATATCCATTTAATATCATATTAGGAATTTTTTTACAATACTAGAAGTCTATATGCGCGCTTCGCGCACAGTACATATACATTGTGTTCATGGTATGAATTTTAATTTACGTTTATCGTAAACATGCATATATGATCATTTTATTTAATTAATTTTACCGAAAAAGAAAATTTGGCTTACTTATCAAAAGTTAATTTTTTATATTCAAATTACATCTAACATAATTATCTAATTATTAAATCACCAAATTTACGTTAAAGTGTACAAGCCAATCAAAAGCCCGAATATTCATCTCTAAATGCACAATGAAAACGTTTACAGGCTTCACTTTTTAAACCTCTCTCTTTTAAGTAAATAAAAATAAAATAAAATAAATAAAAGTACTAGCGTTTATGCGCGCTTCGTGCGCACTCTCACTTTCATTTCATATTTGATTACATGTATAAATGTATTTTAGCAAATTAAAAAAAAATTTATTTCGATAAATTAGCGGAAATAGCTTTATTAATTTGCATCGAAACAATCTTTTTTATTTTCTACGTTAAAAACGCAATTGAAATCCATTGAAAGATAGTTATATCGAAATAATTCTCTGAAAACATATTGGGTTATTTTTCACGTATGCATTTGAATTCAAAGATATATTTTTTAGGTCGAGCATTCTAGTATGTTTACACAACATAAATTGTGATTAGAAGTACAAAGTGGGTAAAAGGTGCCAAAAATATTATTGAACAAGATTATTGTGGGTCGTGCGCAAAATTAAAAAAGTTCAGTGTCAATAGTCAATTAGCGAAAAACATGCGTGTAAAAAAGTGTTTTTTTTTTTATTTATTAATAAGGAATTATTATATGCAAGGATGATAATGTTGACAATTTATCGGCGACCATTTATCCTGCCTGCACGAACATCAAGGCGTCGGTTCCATGCGTAACCTCGACCAAGCATAACCTGGAAACATCTAGCATATTTTCGGTGTTTTATTTTGTACAGGGTTGCCACAAATATTAAAGCAGTAAAAAATCATTCAAACCATTTTTCCTGATTGATTGTAGAAATCTGTAAGTAAAATAATTAGTTATTAACGAAAAACCATTACAAATTACTCATTTTTCAATATTTTTTATATTTGAAATGAACAATAACATTTAAACATAAATACTGGGAAATAATGAGCTTGAGTCAAAGAAATATATTGAAGAAGTATATTTTTTATCGAAACTTTGCATATTCAACGAACAATGACATTTTTTACACGAAAAAGACCAAGTTGCAAAAAGCTATAATTACATGAAAAAACAACGTACGATGATCCTTGATATACTATTCGATTCGTTTTAAGTTTTTCTTTCAGAATGTTAAATGGCAATTTGACATTTTTATTATTTATTTATTGAAAAATTAATGCCAATCAGGCAATAATTTTTTATGGCGTACTAGGAACACGACAGCGCGCTACGCGCGCGCATAATCTCATTTCACTACGAAAATTCGGATAAAATTAAATTAATTGTAACTGAATAATCCTCGTAAATTCAGGAAGTAATATATCACATAAAGAAATAATTATTGAAGAAGTATACGAGGTGTGATCAAAAAGTAAGGTGAATTTTGAAATTTAGCGGGCTACGTCCGTTCGATCTTCGACTTGTTTATTTGGTTATGTCGGTACACTCGTCTAGAACATACGTTCCAAATTTCAGCTTTGTAGTATGTTTGGTTTGTTTGTGAGAGGCATCAAGGTTAGAAGTGTTTTGCGTGCTCCACGATTTGCTGCTGTCTAAAAACATGGATCAAAGAGTTTGCATTAAATTTTGTGTGAAAAATGGAATCAAATGTTCCAAAACACTTGAAATGCTGAAAGTGGCATACGGTGAGTCTACTTTAAGCCAAAAAAATGTTTACAAGTGGTATAAACTCTTCCAAGAAGGCCGAGAAGACACCGACGACGAACCTCGTTCTGGACGCCCCAGCACATCAACAACTGATGAGAATGTTGAAGAAGTGAAGAAAATAGTGTTGGGAAATCGTCGAATTACCATTAGAGAAATTGCTGATCATATTGGCATCTCATTTGGTTCGTGCCAATCAATTTTGACGAGTGATTTAGACATGAGACGTGTGTCAGTGAAGTTTGTTCCGAAATTGCTCAATTTCGACCAAAAGAAACGTCGCATGAGCATCGCCCAAGAGCTACTGAATGACGTCAACGATGATCCAGATTTACTCAACAGGGTTATAACAGGTGACGAAACATGGGTATACGGTTATGACGTCGAGACTAAGACTCAATCGTCCCAGTGGAGGCATTCTGGATCACCAAGTCCAAAAAAAGCACGCCAAGTTCGATCAAATGTAAAGGTTTTGCTTACAGTTTTCTTTGACTGCAGGGGCGTGGTGCATCATGAGTTCTTGCCACAGGGTAGAACAGTAAATAAGGAATATTACCTGCAAGTTATGCGCAATTTGCGCGAAGCAATCCGCCAGAAACGTCCGAATTTGTGGAAAAATAAAAATTGGCTTTTGCACCATGATAACGCCCCTGCTCACACATCGTTGCTTGTGCGCGAATTTTTGGCTAAAACCAACACAGTAACGATGCCACAGGCACCGTATTTCCCAGATCTGGCCCCCTGTGACTTCTTCTTGTTCCCAAAACTGAAGAGGCCCATGAAAGGACGGCGTTTTGCCACGATTGAGGAGATAAAGACGGCATCGAAGGATGAACTAAACAAGATCACAAAAAATGATTTTTTGAAATGCTTTAAGGATTGGAAAAAGCGTTGGCACAAGTGCATTATATTCGAGGAGGATTACTTTGAAGGAGATAAAATAAAAATTGATGAATAAATAAATATTTTTTGAGAAAAATAAAAATTCACCTTACTTTTTGATCACACCTCGTATATTAGTAGACACTGAAACTCGTAAACGATCTAACAAGTCACACTACCCAAGTGCCACTCACCAATTTCAACCAAACTTAGCACATCGTTAGAACACTAAAAAATATTGAACCCGTGTTTTTTTATTTTTCCGGAATCCACTTTTTAGGGGTAGATACCACCCCTACCAATCCCTATGCGGGATAACCCACCTTACCCTGGGTAGGCGAGTTCAATCAACTGTTTTCAATAAAAAACTTAGGATTTTAACTCCAGACAGGTTAATCCACCTTAACCTTGATACACCACATCCCCACAAACCCTCACAACCCCTATAAACTACCCCCAACAACCCCTAAGCGGGCTTACCCACCTAACCCTGTGTAGAGCGAGTTCAATCGACTGTTTTTTGAAAGAATTTAACATCTCAACCAAATATTTTCTGCCGATTTCCAAGCAGGCTAACCTATCTAATCCTACATTTAGCGTTACCCAGGAACAACGACGAGGATGTAGTAGGTTATTGTTCCCTTTGGGGTGCTAGATTAACGTGAGTGCCCTCGCCTCTCATGATCGGGGTGCTAGATTAACATGAGTCCCCTCGCCTCTCACGAATGATAGATTTCCGTGAATTCCCTAGCTTTTCACGTATTTCTTGCAATAATGAGGACGATTCTCGTCAGTGATAGAGAAAAAATGCTGTATGCACAGAGGATTAGTACACCAGGCGCATTTTATTATTACAACAGTATTACATACTTTACAGTAAGCGTCAACATTTTTAAAACAAAACTCAACAGGAGTTTGAACTTTTTCTGGTTTTTCTGTAATGTACCCACTTTTCCACCATGCATACTTAAACATATTTACAAATCGCGGTGATGAAAATTGGTTGTGGATTAACGATTGAATTTTAAGGATATTATTTCTTAAATGTAAATTTATGTCATATCTATTTAAAAGAACTAGATCTGAAAAGTGTTTTAAGAAGTTTTTCCATGGTCTGAATCCATACACGTCTAGTTGTGAAAATCCTGTGGCTCCAGCTGGTATCGTACACACTTTTACTTTTTTTGTCCCTTTGTTAGAATTAGTGAATATTTTTTCTTTCTGTCCAGTCCATGAATCTAGGCACAGCGTACTTTCGTTTCCTGCAATACGTAAAAAAATATCTTCAAACCATTTGATAGTTAAATTTGATGTTGATTTTCCTGAATTCGAAGCATATGCAACAATATTTTCAGCTTTATATATTATTTTTTCTATCATTGGACCAAATTGGCCGTCTTTTTCTTGCAAAATTATTAGTAAAGGTGATTTTAGAGTACCATCGGCAGAAATGATTGGCTGTATTGTATAGCTATGAGTCAATGAATTCAGAGATTGAGCAAGACATTCAATTTTCAAAGTACCTGTAATAGCGAGTGTACGACCAGCTTGGGATTCAAGATTGAATCCTGACTGATCCGAATTATAAACGTTGCTTGGTCCTATTCGAGAAATTTCTAATTTGACTTGTTCAACAAAACTTGATGTTGTTTGTAATAATTCTGCTTTATTTGATATTTGCGCTTGAGTAACAAATTTATTTATTTTTCTCGAAACTATACCATTCTTTTTTTTTAAATTATGAATCTTTAACCGAACCTGTAAATAATTTAGCGGATAATCCTATTTCTTCTCTAGCTTCCGAAGCCCATCTTTTCAAATCTATATCATGAATAGGAAGACATTGATCTGTTGCTCTTTGAAAATGTTGAAAAACCTTATTAGAAATAAACTGTAACTTCTCTATTCTTTCGCCATTATTACTTATTTGTTGTTCCCATCTGTACAATTGTTTTAAATCTTTCACTTTCCTGTATTTGCTCTAAACACTGCCTAAACTTCTCCGCGCCTTGGTTGACGAACGCCCAAAGTTAACAGCATTCATTTTGTACTCTATATCAATATTTTCAGTAACTTCATTCTCTTCTTCAAATGTCTCATTAGATATTCATCTTCCACTTCGTTATTTCCGATCATTAAAGCCTCATCAGCAATTACACTATTTTCATCTAAACGTAAGGTATCATAAGTCCCTAAAAATACATCATTATCAATAGCATCTTTTATAATATCAACTATATTTGCTGCAAAAGTGGTTTCTTCATCGGTAATTTTTGACTCTATGTTGTACATTGGATGTTGAAAAGCAAAGTTTAATAGTTTGAAAATATTTTTTGGATTCATAGTAATCCTTATTAACAGCTAAAAACTTACTCAAAATTTTTTAAATAAATTAAAACAAGATAAGTTTCAATTGTCTTTACGATTAGTAAATTAAAAAAACAATAGGTGTAAATAATTTCATAAACGCTTACATATTATCACAAAATTAATGAATAGAATACAAATTTAAAAAAAAAATTTTAATATTTCCGTATATATTACATCGTTTAAAAGAAAAAAAATTATAGGGCACACTAAAGCAAAATATTATTTTAGACACTGTTAGTTTTCTATGTAATGCGTCACTTTCACATTACTTACAAAGAATAATGTTACATATTACTCCGACAACGAAATCTTAAGTTGTTCAAGAACGCTAATAATATAATACTGATTTCTCTGCTGACAAAATTATGAAAAATATAAATTTCATAATAATTGGCAAATCATTAAATAATCTTTCTTTATGATTCAACGGTTACAAGGAAATCAAAAATATTTAGCCTTATATGACAACTCTTACAAACGAACTCAATATGTGAACAAAAATCTATTACGTTCTCGTCGTTGTCTTGGATAACACTAACAATAGCTTGAAAAAGATGGGTTTTGAGGATTGCATATAGCTTTGGGAGATAAAGTAATTATAAGATGATGGTGCAAGCAGATTAAGCTATTTAGAGCCAACGAACTCACTTTCTAATACAAAAATAATTGATTAAACTTACTCCACCTAGAGTTAAGTGGGTTAGCCTGCTTAGGGGTTCGTAGAAATGGTTTATTACGGTTGTGAGGGTTTGTTCAGGTAAAGTATATCAGGGTTAAGATGGATTCGCCTATTTATGGTTAAGATCTTAATTTCTTTCAAAAAACAGTCGATTGAACTTGCTCTACCCAGGGTTAGGTGGGTTAGCCTGCTTAGTGGTTCGTAGGGGTGGTTTATAAGGGGTTGTAAGGGCTTATGGGGATGAGGTATGTCAATGTTACGGTAGGTTAACCTCTCCATGGTTGAGATCTTAAGTTTTTTATAGAAAGCAGTCAATTAAACTCGCTCTACTCAGGGTAGGGTGGGTTATCCCGCATAGGGGTTGGTAGGGGTGGTTTCTACCCCTAAAAAGTGGATTCCGCAAAAATAAAAAAACACGGGTTCAATATTTTTTAGTGTTCTAACGATGTGCTAAATTTGGTTGAAATCGGTGAGTGGCACTTGGGTAGTGTTACTTGTAAGTAGGTGTGTGTTTTTAAATATAAATATATTTATATAAACTTCTTATAGTACCCTGTTCTTCGATCAGATATGCTCACCTATACAATTCTGTGTGTACATAGTTTTTAACTAATGAAGTCTCCCTCTGGTTTCCTAGATAAATTTTCAATGAATCCCACGATCTAACTCGGGACATAGCTACGTAAAGTTGTCCATGATTAAAAACATCTCTTCGAAGATCGATGCCAATTTTTTGTAAAGTTTGGCCTTACGATTTATTTATGGTAATAGCAAAAGCCAACCGAATCGGAAACTGTCTTCTTTTGAAAGTGAATGGATATAGATTTTCACAATACAATGTAATTCTATTAAGAAAAATAATGTTATTGCGCTTGTCACCCGTTAATATTTTACATTTTAGTAAATGATTAGAAAAATCTATTATTTGTAATCTTGTCCCATTACACAACCCTTCACTGAGACTTATATTTCTCACTACCATAACTATGCAAAATCGTCTTAAACGCAATATATGAGGAGGGAAGTTTGGTGGATTTAATAAATTAAGATACTCTGGTAAAAGAATATTTCCCATTTCACCATTATCACAATTCTCCGTGCTATCAATACCAGTATATATATGCTCACTGTTTTTATCCAATAAATTAGTAATTCTGTCATTCATGTCATCTACGTCAGCATTCCTGGCAGAAAGAATAGCACAATTACTTATTTCATCAAAATTTTTATTTGTGATAAGTGTACCAAAAATGTTTTGAACAATACATTCATTCGCGGGAAGTATGCAATGTTGTGGTAATTCTATATTGTTATCCTGATCATTTAATGTTCCATTTCCGACATCCAATAAATATTTAGCAAATTCAATTTCGTGCGGTAAAACTCTCATATTTGTGTGTAATTGGTATTTTACAAAATGTGTCCATAAATGACTGTTTTTTATAGATAAATTTAATATTTCATCTCGTGTTCCTTTTACTTTAATTGGCAATAGCTGCCTGAAATCACCACCTAAAACCAGTATTTTGCCTCCGAACGGTAGATCATTATTCATGATATATTTCAAAGCTCTATTTACAATTTCCAAAGCATATCTCGGAGCCATTGGTGCCTTGTCCTAAATGAATACTTTAGTTTCTTTTAAAAGTATACCTTCCTTTGATTGTATTTTAATATTTGAAGACGAATCATTAAACATAGGAACTGGTAAACCAAAAGTTTTATGTACTGTTTTTCCGTTTGGCAACAAAGTAGCAGCAATACCAGTAAAAGCCATTGTAGAGCATTTGATGTTTTTTGACATTAAAAGATGATAAATGGTTGTGTAAAGAAAAATTTTTCCAGAGCCTCCTTGACCATCTATATAAAAGCTATTCGATGCAGTATAATTACTTGAACGTGAAGCAATAAGAACTTCATCAACTATTTGTTTTTGTTCTGGATTTAACATTTGATATTGTCGATTGCCAATTTCTAAGTGATTATTATCTTCATCATGATTATTGTCGTGGACTATAGCATCCATAACATTTTGTTCCATTGTTGGAAAATCTGCTAAACTTCGTCCTTCTGTAATTAAAATATCATTAATTTCTGAGTAAGCCATTTGGTAACATATATGTAATTCATAGTTACGCGCGAAATCTTCCGACATTTGTTTTTTAAACATTTCCCACAGTTTTTCCGGATAAATTGGTTGACAGTGAATCAGTATACGAACGAATAATTGCCTCAAGCGTCTAGGCATCATCCAAGTTTTTGCTTCTTTCATAGCTTTGGCCCATTCATCATCATCTTCAATGATTCCTAATGCTAAACATGCTGCTGTGAAAGAAGGATGTAATACATTATCAACTGTTTTTAAGTCATTGTAGCTCGTTGCTCCTTTCACGTTTAACAATAACAATCTTAAATGAAATAATTCAAGTTGCATAGGACTTACAGAATACATACGACCAATGAAATTAAAATGACTCTTTCGAGGTGTCCATAGAGATACTCGTTAACCATCAACTTTTGATGTTTTATGCATAAAATGTGTCGGGATTTCACGATAATAATATTGTTGTGCTTCTACGTGTGTAGAATTCAAAGTAAAATAATCAAGTAACATACTACTTGAATTATTTAAATTGGCTAAAATTGAATTAGCATCTTCATTATCTGTTATGATGACGGGTTGTTCATTAGGTAGATGTATTGGTAATCTTGAGACTGAATGACTTTTATCTTGTAGTTTTATACTGAAAATGCGGTAGCATACCTCCACAGGACCAACGTAACGTGTTTCAATAAAATTACGACATTCATCGTGTTCAATAACGTTACCATTATCAGATTGTCCAATTACAACCGTTGCAGCATCGTGGCCTTTGTAGATGTATTTATACAAATATTTGACTGCAGTAATACTTGAGACAATCTCCACATTAATATGGCAATCGAACATTAGTAACAACGTAGTACAATGTGGAACAACCTATATGTTTTTTTCGTTATCATGACTTCTACGATAATGTGGGAACCCATTTTCATCCATTGTAGTCTGTTCTTGAAATTCCTTTGGAAATTTGTTTGAGCATTTTCCGTCTTTCATACACCAATCACCGCAGGGACCATGAATCATATTTCTCATAACTATGTCAAATAAACGTGGATCTCTTATTTCAATTGGTATTTCGGCTGATATGTATTTGTCCACTATTTCTGGCGTGGTAATTTTATACCCTTGTTCCAATGTAATTAATAAATGCATATGTGGTAAATCTCGTTTTTGAAATTCAATAACATACACATATGAAGCGACTTTTCCAAAAAAATTTTTCTTTATAACAGTATCAAGTAAACGTTCTTTTCTTAAATCAAAAACTCTCGCAACTAAATCTGGTCGGTCTGAATCTTGCTGACCTGGTAATAAATTTTCCGATATTTCAGGCCAATTTGGATTACATGTCATCGTTAGAAAAATATCCGGTTTTCCAGTCTCATTGACAATAGCCATTGCATCTTGATAACATTGCTACATATAGCGAGGTGAGCCGATGAATGTTGATGGTAGAATTACAGTTTTACCTACATGACCATTTATGTCATTTGCACAGTTTCGCATATGATCATGTAAACCTTGGTACGTATCAGCTCGTAATTCTTTTTGATGGTATTTATGCCATTGAATCCTCTCTCGTTCAATTTTGACATAACTATCTACTACCCATTGTTGATACAATCTATGTCCTCTAATAATAGGATTAAATTCATTGTCTCTGATAGCTATGCGGTATTTAGTATAATCCAAACGCGTAAGCCGAGCACGTCGCTGAGTATTTGTACGCTCCATGTCTTAATGCCAACCTTGTGAACCGTAGGGGTAAAATAACGGATAAATCCATGATTCTATATTAGGATCTAAAGAACTAACAATTTGTAATGATGTGTTTTTATTTCTAATAGTTACATATGATTCTGGTATTTCTCCATCAGCAGTTGTCGAAAATATTGCAGCAACTTCATTGACGCGTTGAAAATTATATCTACGGCTGTCTTGACCAGGCTTTAATGAAAATAATAATTGCAATTCTGGTTGCGCTGAATCACCGTGTATATCACTTATTAGTTGCTGCAATTGTATTTCTTCATTCATCATTGCGTAAGATTTGGCATAAATGTTATTATCACGAATGATACTATCCAAAACTGTCATTAATTGATAATCTATAACATTATTTTGCTGTATTCTATAATTTAAAGCTTCATTTTGATCCATTATAAAAAGTTGTCCATATGACGCATTTTCGCCATCGCTAGGATATAGTGCTGTATTCATTTGATAATATATCTGACCTTGTATTTTAAAACAGTATGGTCCTGGTCTACGTGTTTGAAAATTTACTAAATTGGCATTAAATGAGGCAAATGATAAAGAACTATTATAACTACGTATATTTTCAAAAAATGTGGGTGACTTAATATGTTCCCCTTGGAATAATCTTGACAGTTCTGGTGGAAAAACTGGAAACGTATCTAATTGAACACATCCATGGCCGCAACAATCATTAAACGATAATCCTTTATTCGATACTTTTTCGTCTTTAAAATGATTAGCTTTACAATGTTCATGTTTACATATAACATCCATTGGTCCTAAATAATCTGGTTCTACTGTTTGTTGTAAATTACGATTGATGTCAATAATATTTTGGCGAGCGACTTGTCGTCGGCGACGTTGATTTTCAGTTTCTTGAAATCGTCTTTTTTTCTGTGCAACCGCTGTTTTCTCACCAGTAATCTTGTGACGACCCATAGTTATTTCTTGTTATAACAATTATTCAAATATTGGATGAATTGACAATTAAAAGAAATCTCTTATTATACTATAAAATTTTCCTAAATTTTATACTTCACAACGGACTTTTAACTAACCGAATATTCAATAAAATTTGAATATTAGTCACTTCATTAAATCAACAAAAATACTTCTTCCTTAATTTTTGTAAAGGAATTTAAATGTTATCACAATAATTTTAATTAATTACGCGATGGTCGAATTTGTAAACTGTCCAGCGCTATAAACGTCCGTGTGTGCAAAATGGTTTTTTTTTTAATCCCTTCATCCGATGAAAGTTGATAAGTATCAAATGCAAATTTTTTTTTTTAAACCATTCAACACAGATCATAAGTAATAGAATTAAAAACTAAGAGAATAGATGCTTATTTAAATATTCAAACTTATAAGAACGATTTAAATAATTTCATTATCTAATGAATCGATTATAAGTTCATCAATTAGGTTGATTACATTTTGGTTTCGGGCATATGTAGTTTTTGGTATTTTTAGTTTAGTTTGGTTGTGGTTTTTGCAGTTTCAATGAGGCTTGGTGGTTCAAGTTAAGTATACAGTTAGGTGATAATAAATGTATAAATAAAAATACTTTTGAAATAAAGTTAATTTATTGACTTTCCAAAAATACTGAATAATTCAGTCGAGTAATGTAATTAGTAGAACTATAATGATATCTAGATTATAAACTGGAAAAATATATGTGCTTGTCGTTTAATCAATACCTGAAAAAAAATGAATAAGTCAATTCTCGTGTATTCCCAATAGCAAAAATTAAACATGAAAAAAATTAATATTTTACTCACTATCGTTCAATTAACTATGCTTCTAAGGCTGAAGTTATTACACAGCCGTAAATAAAATCAAAATTCAAAGTAGACTTAAATCCCAGTAGTAAATAGATTCTGAAGCAGCAGAATAACTGAAACATTAATTATTACAAATTAATGAATAAACGAATCGTATATGAACACAACAGTTAAAAAAAGTATTGTAAAATATGAAATATACATATACTTACGTTTGTATTTACTATATGAATCTTAGATTTTAAATTCCAACTGACGTAAACAAATTGTAAAGCAACAGAGTAGCTGAAACATGGAATGTTAAATATTAATGAATAAATGAAGTTGCTATTGGAAAATAAGTAAAATTAATTCCAATTTTGAGAGCCAACCCGTTGTAAAAATAAATCAAACACTCATATTAGGTTACACACGTATGTTTCGTTGGCAGATATCCAACCTCATCAGATCTTTATTAACAATATATGAAAAAATGGTTACAAAAACAAATATATATAAAAAAATTTTTTAAAAATCAAACTAACAAACATTTACCTCAATTTATCAATCACAATCCAATTAACAAAAATTAAAGTATCAAAATCATCTTCTAACTTTCTCTCACACAAATATTCAAATTTCAACTCCGACAACAACTATGAAATAATGCAAACCGACCGGTGTCTGTTACCTTTTATATCAAAACAAATCACAAATATATACACACTTAAATGTATCCCCTCTCATATGTCGAGAAGAACCGGTACAGTCAGCATCACTGCACATCATAACAACATTCAAAAACATTCAATCAAGTCAATCAGATAAAATATCAAACAAACTCTTATATTGCTTACTTAGCAAATTACTATCTTCTTGTCTGTTTATAGTGTTGTCAGATAAATTAATGTGTATCATTTCCGAAATCAGTCTCTTATAATAATTCGAATCTCTATCTAAAATTATTGTGTTATCCCAATCAAACGCATGCGAAGGATAATTTTTCAAATGCATCGGAATAGGAAGAGATTTTTCTATAGGTGTTTTACTATGTTCATCTATGCGTTTTTTTAAACTTCTCTTAGATTGACCAATATACACAGAAGGGCAACTGTCACAACAAAATTTATATACTATATTTGTCTCATTCCATTTATCCGTTGCATCTTTGCCCAGTTTTATTATACTATCCAGCTTATGAATAATTAGTGGTATACAGTGAATATTAAATTTTTTCAAACTAGAGTTACATAAGTGAAAAAATTTTTTATGAAAAGGTAACGGTAAAAATATTGATTTAATGTTCGTATTTTTTCTATTCTCATGAGTAGTAACACTATTACGGAAAATATGTTTACGAATACGATCAGATACACATGCATCAACAAATTTGTCAGGATAATCATTATCTCTTAAAATGCCCTTAACAATTTCAATATTTCTATCATGAAAAGTTGAATCAGACAATAATAAAGCTCTGTCAATTAAATTGTATACGATATTTCTTTTTTGCTGAGTTGTGTGGTTCGAATAAAAGTTTAAAATTCTGCCTGAACAAGTCGGTTTTTGGTACCAATTAGTAACAATTTTATTATTTTTAATTATTAACAAAATGTCTAAAAAAGCTATACTATTATTAAATTGGATTTCATGTGTGAAATTTAAATGACTATAATAATTATTAAAAATATATAACACCAATTGTAATTCTTCCTTTTTTATACATAAAATTGTATCATCTACGTATCTAAAATAAAACAGTGGAGAACAGTTATATTTTTCACGCAAAATAAAAGATAACGCCGTTGTTTGCTGATTTAGTAATGGATGATTTAGAGACTGATTGTTTGAGGGTTTTGCGTGAAAAATATAACTGTTCTCCACTGTTTTATTTTAGATACGTAGATGATACAATTTTATGTATAAAAAAGGAAGAATTACAATTGGTGTTATATATTTTTAATAATTATTATAGTCATTTAAATTTCACACATGAAATCCAATTTAATAATAGTATAGCTTTTTTAGACATTTTGTTAATAATTAAAAATAATAAAATTGTTACTAATTGGTACCAAAAACCGACTTGTTCAGGCAGAATTTTAAACTTTTATTCGAACCACACAACTCAGCAAAAAAGAAATATCGTATACAATTTAATTGACAGAGCTTTATTATTGTCTGATTCAACTTTTCATGATAGAAATATTGAAATTGTTAAGGGCATTTTAAGAGATAATGATTATCCTGACAAATTTGTTGATGCATGTGTATCTGATCGTATTCGTAAACATATTTTCCGTAATAGTGTTACTACTCATGAGAATAGAAAAAATACGAACATTAAATCAATATTTTTACCGTTACCTTTTCATAAAAAATTTTTTCACTTATGTAACTCTAGTTTGAAAAAATTTAATATTCACTGTATACCACTAATTATTCATAAGCTGGATAGTATAATAAAACTGGGCAAAGATGCAACGGATAAATGGAATGAGACAAATATAGTATATAAATTTTGTTGTGACAGTTGCCCTTCTGTGTATATTGGTCAATCTAAGAGAAGTTTAAAAAAACGCATAGATGAACATAGTAAAACACCTATAGAAAAATCTCTTCCTATTCCGATGCATTTGAAAAATTATCCTTCGCATGCGTTTGATTGGGATAACACAATAGTAGGTAAACTAGAGGGGCATCAACTCAGAGGGGTACTAGCTCACTGAGTTGAAGCGTGTGAGTTGAGGTGTGTGCATGTTCACCCCCCCCCCCGATCGGCCCGTGCGCTGTCGACTCACCTCCCCCCCCTCCTACTGAGTTATACCGGTGCGTTCTACGCACTCCCCCTCCCCTACTGAGTTGATCTGATGTGGC